GGTACAATCACCATTGCTAATGCTGTGTTTGGATCCAAGCCACCCATCAAAGATGATGTTCTTGCAAAGGCTTTCCAAGTTGACAAGAAGGTGATCGATTATCTTCAAGCTCAGTTCTGGATGGACAACAACTAAAACTAAAATATTACTACCGCTACTACTACTACTATCAATAACTGATTAAGTATATGCGCAGTTCCTTATGTAAACGAAGGTGGTTGTAGTACACTTTATAACGAAGATTATATAATAAAATGTGATTGGTTTTTTATCCATTATCGTCTTAAATTTCTCAAGTTGATTTTCTACGTGTAAATAAGAAACGAGTGTGGGCTGTGGTTGGTTACATGGTGAACACCTAGTTGACAATATTCACGTGGACTTAAGAATTGGGGTACAAGGTCACCATTAAGGCTTGATTTAGTGAAAAGCTAGCTTGGATAGGTTTAAACATGGTATTAAGGCTCCTCTAAAAGTTAATTATCCACCTGAGAAATGGGTATCTAGAAACATAAGTTTTTCGTTTCTCAAAATCCAAAAAACAAACACCCCTTCAATGCTTAAGGAAAAGAGAACAAACTCAACAAAGAACAAATGCAAATAATTCAATATGAAAACATGTTTTATTGCAAAATGATCAAGTTAGTTTTTGGTAATCAAAATATTCATTTTAGAACTTTATATGTTTTGATTTTAGATTCTAGGCTCTAAAATGCATCCAGATATTAGAATGTTATATATCCAAATCCTTATTTTGTAATTGTACATGCACAAAATAAAGTTCAATGTTAATAATTAATCAATCCCACCACTTCCCTCGTATTAGGGGTGCATACGAGCTGAGCTTAACCCAATATTAGATTATTTAAGCTTGACTTGATAGAAAAATTTAAGATTTGGTTCAGGTTTGAATTTGGTTCGAAGTAAAAGTTTTAAATTAAATCTGACTCAACTCAAAAACGTATGTGTTTGAGCTATTTCATAAATGTATTATCGTAAATACAACTAAGATGCATGTATAAGAAACTATGCATACAACCAGAGGAGAGGATATATATTTCTTGCTCCCACTACATGTTTCAATAAAAGATGAATGATCTAGAGTTAGTGTCTTACGTGGCACATAAATTCGATATGGTACATTACTATCCATTGGATCAATAAAAGTGATTTCAGATATAGGTGTACAACTACAAGTTACCAAATGTATGATGTGCATCCTTGTTATCCCCATCTGGAAGCAAGCAATCAACGTCCATTGGATCAAATACACCATTAACCGTAAGATAGGCATCTTGGCTTCAATACCCGTCTCAATGCCCAACACCGTTTTTGTATTTATTTATTGTTAAAAATAGAGAAAAGGATGAATAGATGTGCATAATCACATTCACAAGAATAATTTGTATTATTCAATCCAAAACGCTTCTGATTAATTATGTGACATGACAACTCATATTTTAGCATTAATTTTTAGGGAGTACCAATCAGCCCATATCAGAATTTTCTAGGCCCAAAGTACAGGGGGAATGCATCCTGACCGTGAATTGATCCCAAATTCACCGGCAGGATGTGGTTTATAGGGGGGGAGATGGCTAGTTGTAGGGGGGAGGGGCTGGAATTCAGAATTCTGCATTTGTGTATCCATACTTCTCTGTAATTTTTATTGATCAACCCCAAATGTTTTATGAAAAAATAACAATAGTATCAAACACAACTTTAGTGAGTTGCTTCAAATGGGGAAACTAAAGTGGATATGCCTAGTAAACAAGCAACTGCACCATGCACTAAAAAAGATCACAGTTGAAATAAGGGTAAATTATAAAGACCCCCCTGTACTATGGGGTCTGTGATAAAGAATACGGCTGGGTCATCAAGCATAACATTTTCGTCTATAGTCACAACTTGATGAACAGTTTGTAATTTAAATCATGCCCTTCAACTAAAATGTTGTTAAATCATGCCCTTCAATTGAAACAGTTTGATGAACAGTCACCGACCCCATAATGCGACAAGGTCACAATTCAAACTTTGTGACTTTGTGTTGTTCAATTGAATATTGTAGATTCCCCACCCCTGCTCCACCATAATTCTTTAAGTTGAAAGTGTTATTTCCACGTTGGAAGTGTTATTTCCAAATGTGACTGGAAACTCTAATGTCTGACCCCTTTGAACGACATATAAAATGAACAAAATATGCCTAATAGAATATATAAAAATTTACAAGTTTCCAACTTGCTCTTGCACCAATTTATCAGTGGGTACAAGTCAGACCGCATATTATTATTAGACTTGAATGGGTACAAATCACCCATTCAAAGAATTCAATGCACCATTTTGATAATGCATCATTACAACTTATCACTGAAGCCCCCTGAATTTGATTGTAACACTGCCTACCTATCATCACTTCCAACATGCAACAAATTCTAGTTTCCATCTGTCTCCTCTGCCCCTCCCAAGGAGTGCTTCCACCAACAAATAGTATAGTTGTCTTTCTTTTTCATTTTTTGTTCATTAACCAGGATTACAAATCTTTTTTTTGATAGATTATGTCACGAGTTTTTGTTCTTTATTGTAGAAATGAGTGAACATTTCACTTTCACTTTGCAATCACCATGTAATCTGATGCTCGAGACAAAGTTTTGTGATTGTCAGAAGAAGTATGTCATTAGGGTTTTTGAGACAGATTCGAACCCATAAAATTTGTTTTATACATGCCCTCGCAAAGTTGTAAGTGATATGACAAAGTCAATTTCTTTGCAACATGGCCATTGTTCCTAGTTGTCTTAAAAATGATACTTCATGTCATGCAGGGAAAATAGTCGAATGTCAGGCCTTGTGGTTTTTCCAAATGGGTCATTCCCATCAACCCCTCAGAAGTGGTTACTTCACATATGTGCAATGATGATGTCCAAGCATGCCGTGCGAGGGAGCCGGAGAAGTTTCTAGCTGAGCTGAATGACTGGGTGAAAACTCTAGAGAGCAAGTGTGATCATATGTTAATTGGGATCATGCGCCTCTTGAAAGTTATTGTTCCTTTTGGCTTAGGAAGTAGGGTATTATAGGAGAAGAGAGGAAGAAATGGGTTGTTTGCATGTTAGAGTGTTAGTGTATACCCTTTCAAGATCTGAATTTCTAAATGACTTCTTACTTATAGATGGAACTTAAGACTTTTATTATGATGATAGCTAAAGTATCTGATCTCTAGGGATATATTTTGCTTAAAAATTCTCAAAATTTGTGGTATTGTACATTATGGTTGAATATGCATTTGAGTTATCTAGTTGCCATTGTTGGTTCTTTCTTGAATCGCCGGTATAACCTTCTAGATTTGCTTGCTTGCTTGAATTCAGCATTGTTACTTCCTTGCTTTATCCAACCCCTTAACAATTGGACCATTCTGATTCTGATTCTAGTCCTCTGTTCCCGCAAACCAAATTGGACCTTAGCTACTTGGTCTTGTTATTAGCAAGCTTAATTAAGAGTTGGAAAGTGTATAATTTATCCTATTCTAGGAGAATAGTCTTGAACAAGTAAATGTTCTCTTAAAAGAAAAAACAATCCATTGACCTAATCCAATAGGTTAGTGGTTCAACTTGTAAGGTATCTGATTATTGATGAAGCCAATGTGCTCCGAACTTAGAAAGTTGAAACATACTTAGAAATGAACTTTTTTTCGAGCACCTAACTTTTGAGCAATGACAGTTCCATATTTGATTTGTTTACAAAAAAAAAAAAATGAGCACCCTTACAATCACATGTTCATGAAGTGTACAAAAGCATTTCAGCACTTAAACACTCTACAAAAATTCCCTATATGCTTCTATGCCGAATTGTGTGTTGTTCCAATCTGTAACATATTTTCATGAAAATAAACAAAAAAAAAAAGGTCTAATTAACCCATATGCTGAATTAGCAACATCTTCATTCAAAGTCTATGATCCGTGTTGAAATTCTGATGAACTCTATAGGATGATTCTTGCACCATTAGAGGAAAAGTAATGTCAGGGAACTCTAAAAAAAATACCAGATGTCAACTTCAGATATTAGGTGTCAGAAGATTGAAATATCAGAGGCTTGTTATTGTAATCCAATCTATGCAATTATTTCACAAAAATAAAATATTTTAGTAAAACAAATCATTGTACACATCAAGAAATTGTAAACATGCATTCTTATCCTAATGTGGGACTATATGAAAATGTACAAGAAATACTTTGTTGGTTTATGTGGATTGGAAAAAAGAAATACCTGTATCATGCATTAGAACTACAAGAGAGTTGGAAATATTCATCCAAGTTGCCTTAATGCAGAGATGGGACAAATCTATGAAAAAATTAAGGGTAATATTGGCAAAAGGAAATCAGAAACTTGGGGCTGGGTTTGAACAGATGACAAAAAATAGTTGTGTAAAGGCTGATTCAACAACAGTCTCCTTCCAATCCCCTAGCCTTAAGCTGTAATAAGGGAACATGACTTCCATGTGATGATTATTGATTAATCAACAGGTCAACATAGGGAAAACAAAGAACCACTTGAATGGAGAAACCAAGGTGGCTAGAATGTGACATTTAAAACCTCCTAATCACATAGTTATTTTAAAAAAAAAAACATATTTTCAATATCATCTCTTAAAAAAATATTATTATCTTGCTTCGAAATTATGTTTCATCATCATTTACCAAAAACATGTTTCCAAACATAGTTTTTTTTTTTTACTTGGAAGCAAAGATAACTTTGAATCAATTTATGAATCTTAAAACAAATTTTAAACAAGTGTGTACCAATTCATCGCATTTCATGCAGCTTACTAACATGTTTCTCGCAACATCACATAGAATTCTTAAGAAATAAGCATTGATCACCAATGTAGCTTATTCATTACAGGCTTGGTTTACTAGACCCAAGCACCACCTCTGGTCTAATCCCCCGGTTGTAATAAGTCCCTAGCAACCATAGGTGCTCAATCACAATTCCCTAGCAATTCCGGGAGGCCATGGCAGCCCTAGACCCTCATCATAATTCCTTGACAACCCCAGGAGGCCCTGACAACCCTACGTGGCCCTACCAACCATACGAGGCTCTGGCAACTACAGACGCTCATCATAATTCCCTAGCAACTTAGGAGGCCCTAGCAACCTTAGGCACTCATCACAATTCCATGACAACACCAAGAGGCACTCATTGCAATTCCCTGGCAACCCCGGGAGGCCCTAGCTACCCCATGTGCTCATCATAATACCCCAACAACCCAAGGAGGCCCTTGCAACCCAAGACACTCATATCATAAAACCTTGGCTACCTAGCAACCCCAAGCGAGTGCCTCACAAAGCCCTGGCTTCCCTAGGCATTGCACATTACTAATGAAGTTTTGGACACTAGCAATCTACCTTATCTTTGTCTATATCACAAATAGACATAGATATTGTAGACCACAAAGCTTACTATAATCAAATAGTTGCACAAAAACTTGACACTAGTGAGCTTCAACACTATCCATCTCATGCCAAAACTTTCAGATAAAACACTCTTTCAATTGATTGTTAATCTTTCAACACATTGACCAAACTACGTGACTATATATCACACACATAATTCAAATAAAACGACATATATGGATCATGATTTGCAATTTTACCATATGAAGAATATCAGTATGCTATAACAAAGCAATTGCAACAAATGCTCAAGAGTAATATTATGCACCTTCCAAAATTCTACACAATAAATGGGGGGAGTCCTATCACCTTTGTGCCATATTTTCCCCTGTCTAATATTTCACTAACCAAAACGCAAAGTCCTAATACTGTAAACTATTTTCGAACCTTTTCTAGTTTTCCAACAACTTTACTAACAATACAATCACATTAACCTCACAACATATATAGTGCTATACAATCATTTGGATGTTCCAACAACTTTAGGCACGTATCCCTGCGTTGAGGTTCTATATACACCTCTCGACAAGGCATGCTCAACCCAACCCTAGAAGAATTTAAATGGGGGGCTACAAATTGGACTTGGCCTTCCCTCTCTCAAATGTTTCTTGGTATAATGGCTTCTATCAAGAAATAGGGGGGCAGTAAACTTAAAATGACAAATCATAATAGACATGATTCTTGACAGAAAACCTTCCATCAAGAAACGTGTGTGTGTGTGGGGGGGGGGGGCTAAATTAAAGGAAACACTAATCTATACCTTACAAAATGCTCCTATGGTTTCACCATCACTTACACCTTCAACGCTTTGTACATGATTCGATTGAATTAGAAAAACAACTACGAGTCAAAATGACAACACCAACACCCATACCCCAAGTCAAGTAGGTCCAGTCATACCCCTCATTCCAACAGAGTATAAAATCACAAAGTTTCTTTTCTTTTGCAACACCAACAAATCCACAATATATAACAAATTAATCAACTCCCCCATTCTTAATTGTCTAATCACAGATACATGACGCTAGACAGGCAAAGAAAATCATAAAGGATGCTTATTTACAAGAATACTCTTAATAATAAGCAAAGGTTAATAGTAAGTACATGTGGCTCGTCGCCATCAGAACTGTACTGAAAGACCTAAATAAGGACAACATAGAAAATCCCTGCCGAGGAGAACAAAACGATCAAAATTGAATAATACACTAAACAATGTATGAGGAACTAAAGTAATTGAAACTTCTTTGTAATAGCAAGATGACACTTTACTAAAATAATGCAAGGATCACACAATTGCGATGAGCACAGAAGGCCATCCAAGGCTTATGATGGGCATAAGAAACCTTCTGGTATTTGTAATGAGCACAAAATTCTATTCAAGACTAGAGATGAGCATAAAATGGCATCGCAAGTCTGTGATGTACCTAATACATTACCAGTACCTTGCGATAAGCATAGAATACATAACAGTTCATGCTGTGATGAATGATGAATAAAGCTTAAGCACCGAAGATAACTATTTTCAGGTGACTTACGCTTTTTCTAGTCACAACAAGCTATGATGAGGCATCTCGAGGATGACTAATGAGACAATCGAACACGTCAACCATACCAATATCTTATCCTAGACACGTGGCCAAGAGAGAACCCATAAAGGGATGTAGCCAACGTGTTGTCATAGGGTGACATAATGGGTTGCTTAGCTAGAGGTTTTTCTTGGTGTTTCTTGAGGCTCCTAGCCAATTTTGCATATTTTTGGGGTGTTCAGAGGCATTTTGGGGTGTTTGGAGTGTCCTCCTTGTGTCTAGAAGGGCTAGATGTTGGTGGAACTCTCTAGAACCTTGTAGAACAATCCAGTTCTGTGTGAAACACCCTAGAGGGGTTAGGAGTAATCTAGACTTTCTCTATAGTGTTCTTGTATCTTATGGAATGGGCATCCCCTACAAGATTGTAGAAGGTATAACGTTTTAGAGGTGCTTGTAGATGATGCCAAGTGTACATAGTTCTAGAGGATTCCTTGAGGGGGTTAGTGTATAAATAGGGGTCCCAATAGGAATCCAAGTTGTAAAAGCATTATTTGAGTTGTGCAGTACAATATCTTCATCCTACAATACTTGGTATGCTCTTGTGTGCTTTGGTGTGTGTCCTTAGCATTTAAGAAACCTAGCAAGAAGGGTTTTGGGCGTACGGTTTGATTGACTTGCTTGGAGGGCCAAGTGAATGCTATACGACTTAGCCAACGAGAGCAGTCATGTCGTGATAGAGTGCTAGTTATGTGAAAATCCTCAGGAAAAAGGAAACTACTCCTAGAGGGTCCCACTAGACACGTAGTGAAACCCCAAATGGCATTCATTTGATAGCTGATATAAAGATAGAGATCTTTTATCTTAATAGGAAAAGTCCTCTTTTGGAATCTTCAACTCAGCCCTACCAAACGGGTCCTTAACCTTAGAAAACCTACCTTGGACCAGGTATTGATTGGCGAAGTCAAAACTTTCATCCTTTTTTCCTAACCAATACAGTGAAATTTTATATCATAAGAATACTAGAGTTTCTGACTATTTCTATATATTAATTATTATCCAACCATAAAAAAAATATATTAATTCTTGTCCTTATCTGATTACAACTAAGTCAAGATTGACCTGTTCATCCTTCCTATTCTTCACATACTCTAAATCATGTTTACAATATCAACCAGCAATGGAAGTATAGGTCAAGCAATATCCCCCGCTAAACAGAGCATTATGGATGAAAATCTTTGTTCAAGAAAGATATGTGCCAGGTTTCTGGAAAGCAAGCTGACAGGTATCAAGATGACTGCTTCTAACTCTCACTAATTCTTTGAAGAACAGTTCAAGAACAAGATTTCAAAGAAATGAGAGCAGTTGTAGACTAAGTAACTAATTATTTTAATTAATAAACAAATGGTTTGTTTAATCCTAGACTGCACGCAGAGACTACTAGAAGACACAAGAGACCATTTCGTTAGCTTCATTCCATAAATAGCACGGCTCTCATGCCAACCTTCTCACCCGCCATCAATCGACAAACCAATCTGTTCCTTCAAGAATTCCAAATTGATTACAAGTAGTGAAAAAATGGGTTCTCGGATGCTCGCATTTCTTGCCATTTTGGCCCTTTGCTCTCAAGCTTTAGCCTCAGATCCAAGTCCCTTGCAAGACTTTTGTGTTGCCATCAACGACACTGAATCTCCTGGTACTATATGCACACTCTCATGGCTTTACTTTCCCATTCTTTCCCTTTGTTTTCTTCCATATCCAATTAACATTATATAATGCTGTTTGGTTTTACTTCAAATGCTTTCATTCTTTGCTATCAACTGTTGTTGACAATTTTGTTATTGTTTTCTGAACAGTGTTTGTGAATGGGAAGTTCTGTAAGAATCCCAACTACACAACAGCAGATGATTTCTTCTTTTCCGGCCTTGACAAGCCTGGAAATACATCCAACCCTGTTGGATCCAAAGTCACTCCAGTAAATGTGATGCAACTACCTGGTCTCAATACTCTTGGCATTTCCTTGGTCCGCATAGACTATGCTCCCTATGGTCTCAATCCGCCCCACACCCACCCGCGAGCCACCGAGGTTCTGGTTGTGTTGGAGGGCAGACTCTACGTTGGCTTCGTCACCTCCAACCCGGACAATCGCCTCTTTACCAAGGTCCTGAACAAGGGAGATGTGTTCGTGTTTCCTGAAGGTCTCATTCACTTCCAGTTCAATGTGGGGCACACCAATGCGGTTGCCTTTGCCGGTTTGAGCAGTCAGAACCCTGGTACAATCACCATTGCTAATGCTGTGTTTGGATCCAAGCCACCCATCAAAGATGATGTTCTTGCAAAGGCATTCCAAGTTGACAAGAAGGTGATTGATTACCTTCAAGCTCAGTTCTGGATGGACAATAACTAAAATAAAACATTAGGCTACTACTGCTTCTAATTACTTACTATATATGTAAGCGCAATTCCTTATGTAACCATTCTTAAATATTATAATAATGCGATTGTTTTTCTTTTCATCTCTGATTCCGTCGCCTTAAGGTTAATTATAATAATGCATAATTACGGCTTTCTGTTTGATTCCTACGTGAAAACAAGAAATTAAAAGATGGTCTGCTACATTTTGGAAAACTGAGAAGTGAGAATGGTTAAATCCATGATATAACCGACCCACCTAGACACAAAGTATTCAAATTAAGCTGGCCTGATCAGCCAACTTTTCTTATATATACATTTTTTTTTTCTGAAATTGACTGAAACTTCTGTATTTTAAAAGGATTCACGAAAGACAAAAGGGTAACCAATCAGGTGGGTTTTCATCAAAATTAAAACCTTTTTGGTATCATGTTTAATTATTTCCGATTTTGAAGTTAGGACCAGACATACCTACCAAATGGTCTTGGTACTCTCTGCCAGAAATCAATACAAGTAATGGTGCTAAGAGAGATAAATGCTTCAAAGTATCGTCATACAACATGAAAGCTCATCAAAAGCCATACAACAAATGCTTGTACATTTTGTTTTCCACTTAATTTTGAATACAAAGAACATTGGGTATGAGCAGCCCAGTTACATTTCCATGGACATGATTGCAAGCGGAACTAACTTTTTGTCCAGGAGTCGCCGATGATAACTTTATAGACTTCAATGATATTCCGGTGCAAGGGAATGAGGAACTGCAATTGAAATTGATAGCCACTTCTGTGCTTGAGGTTCCAACCATATCGGCATATTGAACATCGCTTATTTGGATACCAGTAGGCTTCAACAAGGAACAAGTATAAGAGAAATTATTAAACTTTGAATTCATCCACATATACATGATACAACAAACAAGAATTATACATTAATTGTTTTATTTCATATAATATAGGGAGGAGAGAGAGGGAGTCTCACCAATTCTTTGCATGCACCGCGTACACTGCAATAATTCTGATCAATAATTATAGGGTTTTCTACATTGTTGAAGTTTATTCTCTTGAATGAAATCTTTTTACAGTAACCTTTTCCCGTCTGTATAAAAAAATGAATAAAATAAAAAAGAGGACTATTGAAGACCCAGTTTCATATATATAATATCAATCAAGGTTTTAAAAATCAGATTAGACATAGAACCATTTTAGCTATTGGTTTTTATGCCGAAACGGTCCAGTTATCTGGTTCGAACAGATGATCCGTTCTGATTTAATAAATAAGAAACAAGCAAAACCATTGTTCGTATCATTGTGATACGCCCCATATTGTATCAGAAATGGAGATGAATTGGTGGGTTTTTCAATTCCATACCTGCCATGTCTTGATCCTCACTCCATTGGTCGTGTTGGTAAAAGAGGCATTTCTAACATGAATATTCTCTACTTTAGAGAATGAACCATCCTTACCTAAGCTTCCAATGCTGTCATACACAAAATAAATCAAAAAAAAAAAAAAAAGTGCAACATTTTATCAAATTACTATTTCTAAAAACTTAAGCTGCTAAGTGAGGTCATTGAATAGTTTTATTCTCTAACATGCCCCTCACACGAAAGCCCATTGGGCTTGAAGTGTGGACAGCACAGGCCCACCCATATCTTATGCTGAAACTTAATTAATTATAATGGAGTGACAAGAACCAGTCAAAATGACTCTGATACCATCTCAAAGAACCAGTCAAAGTGGCTCTGATACCAACTGCCATGTTTGTTTTAAAAACAAAACCAACCATCTTGTCAAACCAAACCAGATTTCCTACCTGCCATGAATTGCAGCCACACATCACCGTCTTGAATTGTGAGATGTGTGGCTGCAATTCACAACGGATAGAGTGTGGGTAGAAAAATTGAGTAGGAAATCTGGGTTCTTGTCGAACATCCCCTAGTGTAGCATGAGTTAACTTACCTTATGCCATGACCTGGACCGCAAATAACATCATTGATCACAATATTTGAAGTGTAATCCCCTATAGAGATACAATCATCACCTGTTTGGCATAGATTTAGTTAAAATGGGAAAGATGGAGAATGAGAAATGATGAAAAAGAATGAGAAAGCTAAAATGAATGACTTAAGAGGGAATAGAAGTTACCAGAGCTTATTTTTGTGTGTTGGATTAACATGTCTTGGGCTGATTGGATGTGGATACCATCAGTGTTTGGGCTATGTCCAGGTGAATTTATGGCAATTCCATTGATATAAAACCCAGTACATCCCATGACGAGGACATGAGTTTGTGGGCTATTGATGAACTGAACATTGCTGAGATGGATTTGGTTGCACTTGAGGAATTTCATCGTCTATATTTACATTTATTTAAAAATTCATTAATACTT